TGTACAACGGACAGGTTTTCTCTGTCTGTGTGCGTGCTGGGGGGAGCGCTCGAGTAGGAAAAGAAAGTCGCCTATTTACGGCAATCCGCCCATGTGAGTTTGCCGTCCGTCCGTTTTTTCGCAACGGGCGGACGGCAAGAGGTTGAGTTTAAAAATAAACATGAGAGTTGCCATTTGTGCTTATAACTTGCTGTACTTTCATCTTAAAGAAGAACTCCGGGCAACCTTTTTCTTAACCCTTGCAGTGGGGCTACCACCGCACTGCAAGAGTTTTTGTCTATGTGCAGACCTTGGAGCTGGGTGGCTGTTACAGCACTCCCTGAAACCTGTCTCCTCCTCCTCAACGATGGTATGTCCCTCTGCATTCTCAGCCGTGATGGACTTAACTCTCAATACAAATTAGTAAACAAAACATGAGATTGTAGTCCATCAAAGGAGTGATCTTGGAGAGGTGGCTACTTTACTACATATGGAAAGTTACAAGGACAGCATACCGAGATACAGCGCTCGATCAGGGGGGTCCTGTACAATATAATACTGGATGTACTTGTTCAGTTGAGTGGCTTCAGAAGCATACGGACCGGGGTGTCCAACCGATGGGTGAGTCTAACAGCAGAAAGGGAGGGGAGAAGCGCTGCAAACCAAGTGGAAGAGCAGGGCGATTTTCATAGGAAGTGAGGGCTGGGAAAATAAGGGCCAGTTGTGATTCCCGACCTTCAGTGGTAGATCCAATTTCTCCAGAATGACCCAGAAAACATAAATGTGTGATATGGAGATGAGTAAAATTGTGTGAAAAATAACTCAAAACAAATGTAGTAACTTACCCTTAGGTAAGGAGTGTTGCGATATCATCGGCGAGGAGTAGAGGTGGGTGGTTTCGGTGTTCCAGATGGTCTTTGCAGTGGCCCGTTGTTTGGTGGGATGTCTGTCGTCTGTAGTCCTGTTGATTGAAGATAGCGAGGAAGCCGAGGCGGTGGCGGTGTGTTCTTTACTTGCCTTGCGTAGTTTGGTGGGATGTCTGTCGTCTGTTGTCCTGTTGATTGAAGATAGCGAGGAATCCGAGGCGGTGGCAGTGTGTTCTTTTACTTGCCTTAGATAAGGACACAGGCGCCTCGTAATCCCGCGATGCTGTGGCAGTGATCCAGGTGTCTGGCGGTGGTTGCAGGCTAAAGTGGGGCACTCAGTTCTAACCCGGTGCTGGCGGAACTCCCGGGCACGGGTCGGGTGGAGGCTGTGTATGTATTAATCGAGGCGGAGGGGGGGGAGAAAGAGGGACACGAGAGGCCGTAGTACCGCGATGCTGTGGTCGTGATCCAGGTGGCGGCTGGGTGTGTAACAAACAAGGCTACGCGTTTCGAAGTAAAGCACTTCTTTTTCAAGCCAGGGAGGCCTCCTGGCTTGAAAAAAAAAGAAGTGATTTACTTCGAAACGCGTAGCCTTGTTTGTAACCGGCGAAGACCTTGGACTCATCCCTCCCCCCCCTAGGACATAACCGCCAAATAACTCCCCTCTTTGACCAGCAAGTGAAGACACCGCCTCTACCTCCTCGCCACCCTCGACCAACAGAACAACAGGCAACAGACATCCCACCTTGGAACACCAGAACCATCCATCTTCACTCGTCGCCGATGATTTTATAACACTCCTTATCTAAGGCAAGTAAAGAACACACCGCCACCGCCTCGGCTTCCTCGCTATCTTCAATCAACAGGACAACAGACGTTAGACATCCCACCAAACAACGCGTGACAAGTAAAGAACATACCGCCACCACCTCGGCTTCCTCGCTATCTTCAATCAACAGGACAACAGACGACTGACATCCCACCAAACAACGCAAGGCAAGTAAAAGAGACAGCATAATATAACCTGAAGGGGGGTTTTCAACCCTTTCACAGCTTTAGCTGAAACCAAAAATAAGCTATATATACATTTTAGAGTCCATTCAGGTTAAATTGCCTATGTATTGGGGCTGTGATGGAAAAGACAGCTATTGCAGCCCCAGTGCAAAGACAAGGCAGCCTGCCCTGTTTTCAATAGGCACAGTTCTCACCACCATATCGTGTTGGTGTACACTGAAAATAAGGCCCACAGTACTTCTTTCAGTGCCTAGTGGTGTGACAAGGTACAACCACATTGCACTACGCTGTTCACCCATGACCTTTCATCCATGTTCACCCATGACCTTTCAATGAAGTTCTAGCAACAAAAAAGTAACCAGGATTGGTGCATCAGCACTATGCCTGTCAACGAACGCCAACAGCTGTGTATTTAGCTCAGCTTGCTAGTGCCCTTGCTAATGTGCCAGTGATGTTAAAGCACAACTTTAACTAAAACCCCACCATATCCCTATATCTGATGATGAATGACTGGGTTGTTGTGCAACTAAGAAGATTGAGGAGAAGTGAGGGGGGCATTGATTAATATAGAAGCCATGAGTCATGAGGTTTACATTTTCAGAGAAAGGCAGGCTTTGAATTATAACCATCATCAAGCTAAATGGATATTGTAGTAGTTGTAGATCCTGATTTGTTTGGGGACCTAAAGGTCTTTCCTACAAGTACATGTGACATGTTAAAGGTGCTTCCTAGCCATGTTGGAATTCATCCTGGTCAAGAGAGTCAAGATTTTTCTTAGATGGAGTTTTGTCATCAAGATAAGCACTATTGGAGTGCTTGTGAGCCAAAATGTTCATCCAGTGTCCTTTGGAGGTTTGTTGAGCTTGGGCAAATGTGCAATGGAAGTCTCATAATTTGCTACACAACTTTTCGTGTGTTTGGCACTCATTAAAATCCATATGGGCACACAACAAACGCTGAAAACAAAAGCCTGCCAATGTCCGTTCCCGATACACAAATCTGGAATGGTGGCATTGCTGTTTTATTAACTGCAACTAATAAATGCAATCCAGCACTCACTTCTACCATGCAGACATAATTTTGCATGAAAAGCTGATCCTTCACTTTCATGATTAATTAAACAAATACCACTCTCTCTTGGATCACCCAAAACAGTGATTGAAATAATCCATCACTGTCCAAAAATAGATTTCTATTAAGTCTTTTTTCCCCATGCTATTCAAACGCTGAGCAAGACAAAGCTAGGTTTAATGGTTAGATATCACAGGCAGAAATAAAAATAATATAATACAGCAGGAAAAATCCAAGCAAATCACTTAAAAACAACCATTGTTTTCTAGGCATAGATGAATTTTTTTAAAAGTATCCTTTAAAAAAATCATCAATTCCTAGAAAACAATGATTGGTTTAAGTAATATGCTTGGATTTCACTGCTTTAATATTTTATATCGTTCTGGTATTACCTCTAGGATAGTAACCATTAAACATAGCTTTGTCTTGCTAAGCATATACAAAGCATGGGGAAAAGACTTAATATAAATAGACTTAGACCTAGAAACAGATTTAACAAATACATCCTTAAATGCTTTTAATTTTGCAGTAGCCAATATTGGATTTTTTACACACCTAAAAATAAGCATTCTTGTGTTTTCCAAAAGAGAGAAAGTGAAGGTGCCATGCCACCTTGTTTTGTGAATGGTGCCACATCTTAAAGTGACGCCAAACTCAGGAGTTAAATCTTAAAAATGCATTCAAGTACCTTAACTATTAACAAACAAGTTAAAACAATTAATTGTAGCTATTAACCTCCCTGGCGGTATGATTATGTCAGGAATTGTGTACCAAAAGCGGTACATTGTTTTTCATGGTTCCCCGAGTCTGACCAGACTCGGGGTTTACCGCTCCTAGCATTGAAAATTCACCCCGAGCCAGACGCGTGATTACCGCCAGGGAGGTTAAAAAACATCTTATTTGTGTATCACTCAGCTGAAGATCCTCCAATCATCATCTTTAAAATTCACACTGACACTGTCTTTCCTTCTGGAGGGGGGCCACTTTTGTTCCCCATGGTCCCTGTGTGTTGTAAAGAATCGACTACAAGTTCAATACAAATTAGTAAACTCAATGTGAGGTTGTAGTCCATCACAGGAGCGAGCTTGGAGCGGTGACTACTTTACAATATACACAGAGACCATGGGGAACGAAACTAGCCACCTTCCAGAAGGAAGGACAGTGTCAGCACGAATTTGTAGATGATTTGAGGATCTACAGCTGAGTAATACAGAAATAAGATACATTTTTGTTAATAGGTAAGCTATTGAATGCTTGTTTAAGCTATAACTCCTGAGTTTAGTGTCACTAAAGCCCAACTAGAGCCTCAATAATACATACATAGACTTCAATTGTGATTTAGAAGAGAACTATGGGCCAGCCTTTTTTGGCAATAGTTCTCTTTAGGGTCACATGAAGACATATACTATGTCCGCCTGCGTCCCAAAACTCAGCTAATAATAGCATGCTATTGCCCGCTATATGCTGACAGAGTAGAGCCGCACTGAAGCCGGAAAGGATCCCGACAATATTATCAGGATCCACCCCGCTACCTGAGTGACAGCTGACTCTGCTTCTCTAGCGGTAGAGCAAGCTGTGCCCGCCCCCTCACCTGTCCATTCCTCCAGTTAGCGCTGGAGGATCGGAGTGGGGAGGGGGGAGTCTCTGCGGGGAGCGATTACTGACAATCACCACTATCTGCAGGGAGATGATCGGGAACTGAGCAATTAGAGGTATGTGATCGCTCGGTTCCCAATCGATAGAGCCAACATGTGACAACTTCAGTGTCACACATTGGCTCTAATTATGAGGAAGGGTGTATTTCCCTCTCCCCATAATTCTCCTTTCAAAAGGCTCTGTGCGGCTCATGCAGAATTCTAAAAGAATTGTGTGTCATAAACTGATCAAAGGTATGAAGAAAATGCTCTGTAATTTTACTCTGTCAGGTGCTTACAAGGTATCGGTGCATACTGTTGAACATATTAAATACATAACAACTGAAGAATGACTTAGAACACCTACTACCAGCTGGATAAATTAGAAAAAAGTTTGGAGACAAGTGGCTGTACTTTAAGTGAGTATGACACTTACCAACAATTTTTGCCATGAGATCCACAATACATTCATCACCCAGTGCCCACGGACGCGTACCGATGAAATGGCCATGGACTCCCCTAAACAGAGATAGCTGAAGTCATAAATATATTAACAAAATGTATGACTATTAAATGAAATAATTATGGTCTGACTTACCGTAACAATAGATATTAAAGTGTACAGTGTGTTAATGGTATATTGTATTTGTCAAGTATCCAGGAATAAATACATATAAAGGGCAACTCCAGTAAAATATATAAAACACCTTTTGTACGAGTATCTGTTTGAGAACCCCTCTGCCATCCTAAAGGTGACCATCTTGAATACAATTTATTTTAAATGGAAATAGGGTCTTGACTACTCTAACATGTTAAGCATTTCAAGTAATACTCATCGGTGAAGTCTGTTTTCTCATATTTTTTTGGTAATGAAGTTTGACCCATCAAGGTGGAACCCAATTGAAGATTATTTTTTTGTTGTGTTTAATAAAATCATTCTGCATAAAAAAATAACACATTCACCTTTTCCTTTTATTAATTCTCCAGCCCTATGCCAATCTCCTTTTCTCTAGCAGTGTGCTGGAGATTAGTACTGCTGCTCTCTGCTTGAGAGCAGTGATCTATCTCCAATGGTCCCACACACTCTCACATTCACAACTACTGTGCTCCAACCCACAAGGCTTACTTTCCCTGAGCAATGTTGTTGATTACGGTACTGTGCAGGAGGTGCGTGGGACCCTTAATGATACAACACCACTCTCACACAGCGCAGTGGTAACCTTTTAAAATGGGTTAAACTGCTTCTTCCACTGTACAACAGACACCTACAAATGCTTACTTACCTCTACATGCTTACATCCTCAGCACATTTCCAGACATTAGGATGACCCAAGGCACTTTATTATGTAATTTGTATCCATAGTTCACATGATTGTACTTTGGCATACCTCCTTCTGAACTCCCCAGGCATCTTACCTGGCCATTAAATGTAACGGACTCATTGGTGGCCAATGTATGATTATGCCAGCTAAACGCCACAAACCATTCAAGGTATAGACCACAGGTTTGCTTTTAAGCTGAACACCAGCCATACAGCTAAACACACAGAGGAAATACATACATGGAAGATGTTTTTTCTTGTATATCTTTTCCTGTGATTTATGCAGCTCTTATCATAGCTAGGTGGATGATATCACATAAAGCTAAAGAATATAGTGGTGTCTTCTGTCCACCCACTGTCATCTGCATGGGCAATGAAAGGGCAGCAGAGGACAAATTAAGTCATCCCTCTCTCTGCTCATGCTGCTCTATCCTCATATCAGCAGTTTGAATGTTAACATATTTGAATGCAAAACACCTGACTGGCTCCCATTCCTACCCCTTCCTCCCCCATACCTCTCAACTGTGTCAGTTTCCATGGATCTGTCCCATCCTATGTCCCACTGCTGGCTGCTGGAAAACTCAATCTAGTATACAGTGCCTATACAAGTCTTCTATCCCCACTTCCAGCTACTGGTCATTTGACAAAATGTCACATACTAGTGCAACACCCCATATGTCTGTGTTACATTACTGTATATCACAGACATAGCACTGCCACCACCCCAAACCTTTATTTTAGAAGTTCCACTGCAGCAGTGACTTGTATTTTTGTTAGCCTGGAGGCAATTACTGACTGCAGGCTGAGCTGGTTGAAGTGATCAGAGAATGGAGGCCAAATTACTGGAAACACTAGAAGCCCTGGGGTAAAAGGAGACCTCCTCCCTGTACAGGATGTTCTATGATCCATCTGCTGTACACAGGCTTAGCATTGCTGTGCTACATGGATGGAGACCCTGCAATGGCCGCCCACCTGTCTCTGGCCGCTGCCCAAGTCCTTGCCCGTCTCTAGCCTCTGCCAGCAATAGCGTTTTGTTGTTGCATTTTATTAGACAGACATACAACATAGCAATGTGTAATACATGCTTCTTACTGTTCCATTCTATACTCTATGCCAGGGGTAGCCAAACTCCGGCCCTCCAGCTGTGTTGGAACTACAAATCCCATGAGGCATTGCAAGATTCTCACAGCCACAAACATGACTCCCGGAGAGAGATGCATCATGGGATTTGTAGTTTCACCACAGCTGGAGGGCCAGAGTTTGGCTACCCTTGCTCTATGCTGTGAATTGCATTATCCTGACTGCTATACTCTATGTGCTGTGTAGTACTTTACATAGACACGACCCTTGCACTCTATATACTATGTTGTATATTACAAAGTGTTGATTTTTAACACAGTTGCTAATTGTATTGTTTTTATTTTTGATTCTTATATTTATGAGAAACTCTTTCATATAGCACAGTAATTATGTAAGTATTTTGCAAGTAAGTATTTTGTGGGTACAATGACTACAGCCCGGGTACTGGGAATGCACCAATACCGTTCTTTTGGTATCGAGTACAAGTACCAATATTTTTCTTTCAGTACTGGCCGGTACCGAGTACCAATACCAGTACTTCCGATAGCATGGAGCCAGCTTCACAGGCAATCAAGAATCTGGGCAGCGGATAATGGCTTCCCAGCCACTCAGCATCGTGCTGGCCAAATAGCATGAAGCTGGCTCCATATTCCCTTGTGGCACTGCTGGTCAGAGGAAATCTCCCTCTGACCGGAAGTTCCAGTATCGGGCGTATCAGAACATTTGGTTGAGTACCGCCCAAACACTAAGTATCGTCACCGATACCAGTAATGTTATTGGTGCATCCTTAATGTACAAAATGTAGGTTCAGTCTACATTATGTGCAAGGGACCATTTAACCATGGTCCTCTAAGTCAGGCCTTCTTAAACTTTCTCCACTCTTGACCCCTTTTTGGCCGAGGACATTTTTACATGACCCCAGCGTCGGACGGTGCCTCTCCCCTCTTTCCCCCCTGCGTCGGTGTTTCCCCCCTCATCTAGGGTCGGTCGGTGTCTCTCTCCTCTCCCCCCGCCCAGCATCGGTCGGTGTCTCTCTCCTCCTCTCCCCCCTAGCGTCGGTCAGTGTCTCTCTCCTCGTCTCTCCCCCCCTAGCGTGTCGGTCAGTGTCTCTCTCCTCTTCTCTCCACCCCCCAACATGCGTCAGTCAGTGTCTCTCTCCTCTTCTCTCCACCCCCCCCTTCCTCACATTGGTCTGTCTGTCTCCTCCCCCTCCCCTGCCGTGGATGGACAGTTGGTCGTTGTCTCTGTCATTATCAACTACTACCCCCTCCCCCTCTCCCTCCTTCTTACCTTAACCTCCAGCAGCTGTGCTCCACTTTTGCTGGGTTAAAGAAAGTTCCATCAATGGAAAAAAAAAGTTCCTGTGCGCACGTGGTCAGGAAGGTACCAAGTGCACAGGGGGGGCCCGCGATCTTAACAACTACGCTATACTGCACATTAAACAAAGCACATGGTACTTGTGTGAGGGGCCCAGGCCGCCTGGGCCCCTCACACAAGTACCAGCCGTACCTGCCTGATGTCCATCCTTGCCGGGGATTCAGATCGCGACCCCACCTGCTCACTTGCGTGACCCCATGTGGGGTCGCGACCCACACTTTAAGAAGCACTGCTCTAAGTCATGCCCAATATTCAGCACAATGTAGCCACATTTTTTTTGGAATGGCACATTCTGAATATCTTCTCAGTCCCAAAGTGCCCCTCTTTCTTAGGTTCCAAAGCTGGGAGATGTGCTCTCCCAGGATCAGTTATACTGGACTGCAAGAGTGCATCACTAACACAAATTGACCATTGGATATTCTTTTGCTTAAAAGCAATAAATAAACATGTTCAGCTTTCTCCTATACTGTACAGTAATAATATTCCTGAGCACATAGCGCATATTCTGAGTGATTGTTGCAGAACTGGGCCGTGAAAACTCGGCATAAAATGTTATTCTAATCAGCGCTTATAATGGCGGTTTTGCTGCTGGCACCGATCTCTCTGTGTCCTATCATATTTGCAGTCTGCTGTAAAATGCTATGCAGATCTGGTATAATCCTTCGTCTTCCCGGACTTTTTAGGCGCTGAAATAATTAACATTGACGTCGCTGAAGGAGCTCACAGGGTTAAAGGTTCTTTAGCTTGTCACATCTTTCAAAATAGCTGCTGGTGGCCCGGGCTGGGGGTTTGAATCGTAACATTCCCATAAGGAGAAAATAGATTTTAAAGGGGGATGGAGTGTGACACCTTAAACGGTGACGGAAACTGCTGAGCTGGTCAGAATAGTCTAAAAAGTAAAGAAAAAATAGTATTAGGAAAATGTATCTTTTTAAAGTTCAGCATATTGCAAGATGATTTATGTGCACTTGGATGACTTTGAAGAGAACCGGTCAGAGACAAACAGCTGAGGTGCAGCCATTTTGTTGTAGGTTAAACCTACGGGTGTAAAAATTCAGTTTGATGATTTACTAGGGACTCACAACATTACTGCAAGATGAGATTTGTACTGAACTTTTTTTTTTTTTTTACTTAGAAGCTGAATTTCCAGCAAACAGCTAAATAAGCAAAACAAATACATAGAGGGGAGTTACAGTACCTGCAAAAGGATTTGTATTTCTGTCCATCCAGTCCTAAGGTTTCCAAAACTCTACCACATAGACTGCAGTAAAATTGCCACTTACAGGTCTTGTCCCTTCCCCAGCCTGTGATTGAATTGTGAATAGACTGATGAGGTCATCTTTCTGCTCTGTCCTCCTGTTCTGCATTCATATGGGCTGGAAAGGTACATGCTGACACCTGACTGGCCCCTGCTGCTACCTCTTTCTCTCCAAGTGAGAGTATTGTTGTAAAGGGGATTACAAAAAGTAATTACAATTCAGGTATTTCTTCTATTTGCATTTAAAGAATAGCCCCACACTGCAAGGGTTAAGTGTTTGTGTCTAGGTGCTAAAAAAAAAAAAAAAGTTATGCTCACCTGATCATTGGAACCAACGTGCTCATAGACTTGTCCCTGGAGCCTCTCTCCCCCTCTGCCAGCAGTCTAAGGTCCTGTAAGTCATCATGTCCAATATACTGTGTATAGGACATAAGGACCCAGGGGGACATACCATCACTGGAACGCAAGAACACAGGCTGGAGT